CAGCCTCATTGCCCCACCAGGGGTCAGTCTCTGCCAACTCATCTGTGTTGCTCCAATCCACATGACTGCATTAGAAATTCTAGGCCAAATCTCAAAGCGTCCAATACCAAACATGTCAGGGTGACATACTACAAGAAATGTTACTTAAAATTATACACAATACATCAAGACTATTTATATTTGATGATATGATGGGAGTCAAAAAGGATGTAATCTAAAGGTTTAAATATTTCTCTAAAGCACTATATACAACATGCATTCATTTATTTTGGGGAGCCATTTCAGATGAGTGCAACAAGCTGTAAACACATATTATCACCAAAGTGTCAGCAAACGCTTCCTCATTTATACATCCAGCAGATACGGAGCAACATTAAGGTTCATTTAGAGTTGTGTTTGTGTCCACTTGATGAATGAAAGTCCAACACTCGCTCTCCTCTCTCCACTAACTCCTGGCTCTATAGATGGTAAATGCTCCACTGCGTTTATCAGTTTGCTGCTAACTTTGTCTGCTGTTTGGTGCTGGGCAGGCAGCGTACATTGGGTTCCTCAGAGCCTTGACACTGTTACTGTTTACAGCAACAGCCTCCTGCTGAGGAGGTCTTTTAATTGATTATTCTCTCTGGGTTTGTCACTGTGTCCGACACTTTTCACATTACACACTGTATATTAATTCCCACAACCACCAAATCCTTAGTTTCCGCCTCCCTGCCTCCTATATTGGCACTGAATTTTGGCATTGGATGTAAATCGTGAGCTGTGGAATCATCCGATATGAACATAATTCTCAGGGATACTTTGTTTAATATACTATGTAGATTGACTTAAATCAATAGAGGAAAAGGCAGGGGATTTATCATCTGGGTACCATGAGTATATGCACAAAATTATATGGCAAACCGCCCAATAATTTTTGAGATATTTAAGCAAAAGCCTAAAACATTAACATCATTGTGGAGCTGCATGAAAAATCAAGGAATCACCACAGTCAGTTAGGTTCATCCTCTGGGGAACATGGATGTTTGTAGACAATTTCTGTGCAACCCATCAAATAGTTGTTCAGATATTTCAGTCTGAGCTAAAGTGATGGACCAACTGACAGACCGACATTGCAACCCCTTGAACCATGCTAGCATGGCTAAAAAATCACAGCGGCTCATTACTCAACAATTCCCGCACTTCACTGAAAGCCACAGATCGATGACATCAAAACGCGTCAGAGCGTCTGCAGGAGCATTTTTCCCTTTAACACAGCTGAACTTACAAAGGCACCAGAGGTGGATTCACATTCAGTCAGTGTGCGCTGCTTTGCATCAGAATCCAGCCGAGGCACAATTTAATCAAGTCATCTTCCATATTTCACACAGCCAGACTATCAAAAAGAGATGTGTCAACGCAAATTGTAGTGAAGCTGAACCTCACCCTCACCCCCACCCTCTCTTCCCCTGTGTGCTCCATCCACTTCCCCTGTAACTTACACCCCTCAGTAGCAATATGATTTCGGCAGTAATGTGTTTCTATTGCTCTTCCTGTGATGCCCTGCGGTATCACTGCACCGCTGTATGAAGAGCTCGAGGGGCTTTGGAGAGCCTCATTTACCTCCATAATCTTACACAGTCAATGACATGCTAGCATGGTGTGGTGCACTCATGCACACACAACGTAGAGATGGAATACGTCTGAAAACAGAAAGAAGAGTCCTTGTACGTGGTTGACTTGAGGGAGAATTAACATAGTGAAAACGCTGCATTATGCAAATGTATTATGGTTCCTCTCTGACAGTGCGGGTAAATTGGATGATGTTTTATGATGATGTAAGAGTGAGTTAAGGCACAATGGATCAGTGCGTTTAATACCTCTTTGATATGTGTCTTCCTCCACCAGCGAGCCCCTCCTCGCCTCATCCTGCTCCGAGATGCTGAATTCGTCAGCGTGGCTTTGTGATGCCTCCCACAAGATTCTTGCTGTTCAGGCTCAGAGAGTCAATAAGACAATAACACAGCGCTGGATTAGTCTGAGGATGAACTGGGGACGAGGCAGACTGTAGGAGCTGAGAGTGTTAAACCTTACTAAGGGGATAAAAGGACTGGAAATGTGTTTTGGCTGCTGAGTGGCTCACCCAGCAGTCACATTATTTAGTTAAAAATAAAAGAGATGTGACTTTTTCAGTTTTGCAGTCATGAGGAGAGGTAAGGATAAAGGGATCATCAGCAAGGTCAGATGCTCAGACATAAACAAGAATTAATCCTGTTACAGTGGCTAAGGTTGAGTGAAGTAACTGAATCAGAGTATTGCAGTAATACACACAAACACAAGCACACATATAGCAACACACACATGACGGCGGCCTTGGCTTTGTTCTAAAGCTCTTAGCCATTTGTCTAGTGTTACACAGGCTCCATTTACTCCTGATTGCTTGTGACTGGTGACCTCTGAACCCAATCCACACAGGTACTGCAGAACGAATCATCAATACTGGCAGCAGGTTGTTTTTGCCTCCGGACTGCCGGATAAATGATGCCCTTGGTGGACACACACATTCAAAAGAGAAACACACACACAGGAAGACAAATTTACTGCAAGTCACATTTCCTTGACATCGCAACTAAACGTTTAGGAAATTTGTCTCGAGCATCCATGGGTTTTAATTAATAATTAGTTTATACGATATGAAACTCTGTTTAATCTGTCATAATTAATCACAGTTAACATCAAATCCACATTCAGTTTTTGGTCAGTGTTACATTTTTGTTACGAGGGAATGCAGCATAACCACAGAAATTCTTGCAGACTTGATGTTTAATGTGATGATTTACACAACAAAGTTTTTTTTAAAAGAGTTGACTCATTCAGTGGTTCCCAGCCAAGATAAACCTGAGGAGTCTCAATGTGATATGAAGAATAGGAAAGGAGACAAAATGTTTTGCTACCCAAAATAATGTACAAAAAAAAGTTTGGAAACCATTGTTGTAATTGATGTTAATACTTTTCACAAATGAATGGAAGCCAATAGGCCAATGGCCGCCAGGAACGGCAGAAAAAATACACCCAACAATGTAAAACTTTATAGCATAGAATAAAAAAATGCTGTCTTTTTTTGTTTATTTGAGCCTATACGCTACAAATCCTGTATGTTTTATATTGATGATGTTCAAAGCCGGCAGCTATCATTGATTTCAGACAACCCACCCAGTTGCATAACTATGAATAACTATTAAATGCTTTGACATCAGCATGTCCCTGAATGCACCTTTGAGTTTCAGAATCGTCGCTGCTCACTGTGGATGTGATAGTTTATCTATTGTATCCACTGTATGTTAAAATTAACTGACATCAGTGAATGTCTGGAAGGAATGCACTTTAGAAAATGATCAGCAGAAATGTAATGTAATATAAATTGTAAATTGCAAAATAATGCAACACAGTTGTACAGTAAACAGCATGGTGCATTAAAGGGGAAAACCACTGTTTCTTTTTAGATCAGCTTGTTTTCCTTTCTCGGAAGAAGACATTTGCTGCTTCATTCTTGTTCCGAATCAAAAACACACTTTCACAGAGCAGAACAGTTAATGGAAACTCCAACTTGATCATCTTTAAACCACTGTTGTATTACATTACATGCCACCTGTTTCCTCTCCTCCAGGAAATAATCTCAAAAACAGGACACCTTAGAAAAGTTATTATCACTTCTTTGTCCTATAACTCTGTCTTTTTTATGTGTTACAAAAATGTATTTCCAGGAAAGATCGTGTCTAAGAAATTACAAAAAATTTGATGCTAAAACCTACTTATGTATGCGCTGAACATTTAAAGAAATGTAGACTGTCTGTAAAAGACATCGGCATGCCAATATACACTATACTAGTTTACTCTACTGTACACACAGATACTCTTACTCTCTCTTTCACACACACAAACGTACATCTAGGTGATGAATCGTGGCCTTGAGGCAGGAGGCCTTGATTTTGGGACATCCAATATCAGGCCTTGGGGAAAAAGAAGAGGCACGCACTCATATATATATATATATATACACACACACAAACACACCCCAACCAGCCATCCCCTCCATCTTCTTACCCCTCCCATCCCCCTTCTGTCCACCCCCTCCCCATCCCTGCTGTCTGAAACCCTTGTTACAGATACAGCAGATTTAGTTGGGGGGCCAGGTGCCCAGGGACGCCACACACCGGCTCCCCCTTCCTCTACCCCGCCCCAGCCTCCCATCACACAGGGAGTAAATGTATTCATCTCATCCTCTCCGGCCAGAGAGGTCACAGCCTTATCTCGCCCTCTGCTGTAGCGCTGTCAGCTCACCAGCCACAAACCATAACTTCTAACTGCTAGCAAGAGCGCCGTGTGGTCAGAGGCCGGCGAGGAAGACAGGGAGGCAGTGACGAGTGGGGAGGAAGAACAAAGACGAGGACAGGACAGGACAAAAAAAAAGGAGAGAGAGAAAAGGAAGAGGAAGCGGCATCAAGAGGGAGAAGGAGAGGGTTGTGTCGAAAGTGAAAAGAATGAAAAATTAAAAGCACCCATAAAAGATCAAAAAGGGGGGAAATCATTTTATCCAGCTATTTAGACTATTATTGAATCCAATCTAATATCATTTTCCAAATATTAGCCATGTTCTGTCTCTATTAAATTTAAAGCTGAGGTAGGCAATTTTTGCCAGAAGTATTTTTTGTTATATACGTTGAAATTCTCTTTATATCCTGAGCATCAATCAATAAATCAAATGCTCTGGCACTAAATGAATGAAAAACCAATATATGTGGCTATTGCAGGGCTGAAATAAGCACGGCCGAATGAACAAATTAAATTATTGTCTGGCCTGCCTACCTGCATGAACTCACGGTGCATGAAAATGTGTTTTGGGGGCGTGGCTTTGGAGGGAGGCGTGAAGGGAGGGGGTGGGATGATTTCAGTTAGATACTTTTAAAATCTAGCTGTCTCCGTTTAATACTCCTGAGAATCCAAGAGCAGGACACAGACAAGGATTTCAAGAGAAATTCACAGTTCGGGTTTATTCACAACTTCACAAATGTGCAACTGAGGTTTGTTGCTAGAACTCTTGCAAAAAGGCAGGCAGACGCAGTGAGCTGGGCATGCGGTGGAACAGCAGGTGAGGCGCTGAATGATGTGGACAGAGTGAGATCTCTGGCAGGGAACGAAACCTGAGGCACAAGCAAAAACAGAGTCAGGCAGAAGATCGGGAAACAAGAGCAAAAAGAGATTCAGAAGTTTGGCTGTAGCATAAATACCACAGAGATGAACAGACAAACTGGAGTGAACTCTGGAATTACCTGGATGTCTGCATAAATTGGTCGTTAAAATGTGATCTGATCTTCATTTAAGTCACGACAACATGTGCTTAAAGTAATACCAAAGTAAGAAAAATTACATGTTTTCATCTTTTTATTGAACAAACCGTGTAAACATTCGCAGTGCAGGGTGGAAAAAGTATGTGAACCCTTAGATTTAACAACTGGTTGACCTTCCTCCAGCAACAACCTCAACCACACGTATCCTGAAGTTGCAGATCAGACCTGAACAACGGTCAAGTGGAATTTTGTTTGCAATTTTGAAATCCAGGTAACATTAATTCCAAAGCGTTCACACACTTTTTCCTGTGACTGTATACTGCAGGTCTTGATTAGTAGACGAGTCTCAGGCTACATCCACACTACTACGTAAAAAACAAACAAAAAAAACGATCTCCGTCCACCCAAACAAAAACACTGTCAGTGCAGTTGTGTTTTTGCTTTGCATGACTGATAAGACCCAGTATCTGCGTCATCGTTTTCAGAGTCCCTGTTTTTGCCTGTCCGCACTAAATACGCTACCCCAGCGTTTTAAAACGAAAATGGGATCTGTCTTCCTGCATGTGCTTGCCACGGCCATGCAACACACACCCACACACTGAGAAGACAGAGAGGAGACAAACATGAAACACAAGGAAGGGAAAAACAGCAGAAACACCAGGAAGGGGTGGCACAGCCAACTATAAAAGTCTAGTTCTCCATCGTTGCCTACCTTGCCCACCCCAGCTTTAAAGGTACAATTGAGCAATGTATTTTAATACTGCTTTATACATAGTAACCATTATACATCATTGAGATTTATTCAACTGCTGTAAATCAGTGCCGGTTGCAGAGAATTAAAAATTTCACACTGGCTCTGTGTATTTACTGGGAAAACACCACCTTTCCTGGTATCTGTTTATTTGCTGGGAAAGCTCATTTCAAGTCTCCCAAAACTAATCACCTCGTGTTTTGTACCTTTCCGAACACTGATTTGTAATTGGGATTGAATTTGTTAGGCAAGTAAACAACCTATTTTATCTTTAAAGTCAGCAGCATGTAGTTTTCTGAAATCACAAAGTGAATTTGATGAAGTTAATTAAGGATTGTGCAGAAGGACACACATTTCGCAATTGTGGTTTCCTACATCTGCCACTAGACGTTACCAAAGAGTCATATTCTATTGATAGCCTCTTTAAAGATACCGACCTTTATAGGAAATCCCTTTAAGCAAGAGAAATTGCAGCGCATGGATTCACCGGGTTAGGAGATTTTTTCGTAGAGTCTTGAAGCCTGTAAATGAGTCTCAATGACTTGTTAAGACAGATGAGTTTTGCAGTGAATTTAAAGAGAAATGAGGATCGTGTGAAGCGGGGGAGGGGAGCGGGGATGCTGGTGATATTACATGCAGCGCACTTCGCCTCGACGGGAAGTGTTTTACAATGCAGCCGTCAGATGTAGAGGAAGGCACTTCCACCGGAGTCCAGTTAATTAACCACATCAGTTTCTTAATGTGATCAGTTTTAATTAAAACGGAATTTAATCGGGAGTAGTAACAGGAGGGCAGCAGCGGTGACAGTTGGGGGAGGGAGGGGGAGGGGGTGTGAGGAGGTTATGCCACAGTAGGCAAGTTACTTAAATGTGTGTGTGTGTGCGTGTTTGTGTGTGTTTGTGCCAGGAGCTGCAGCAGCCCCGGTTTCCCTCACTTCAGATTTGTGGGTGTCTAATTAATATGGATGGAGCATTAAGCCTTTTGGACTCTGGTGCCTCTCATTTCATGACTATTAATGATTTTAATGAACTGGGCTAATAAGGCCGTTTTTCTTCGCTGAGCTCTGGAAGGGCTATCCGACACACGCCAGGGTCAGGAGGACGGGCTTCCACAGCACTCACAAACCCATTAACGCTACATAGTCCGTGCGCTCATCAGACGCTCAAACACTGAGAGCACCGTGTGAAACTCTCTCTTTATTATGAAGGAAGGTAGCGCCGGCCGGCCTTTAGAGGAGGCAGGTCACACGGTGCTATGTTGAACAGATATGAACAATGAACGAAACCAAAACCCTTTTCAGTTATCAAATATGTAACATTCATCTGTTAAAGCTTTTTGACATGTAGGTGTATAGGTGTTACATAAATATTCTACAATAGCTTATTCAGATATGAAAGAACTATGTTGAGAGAGAAAATGCTTGCAAGTTACCAGGAAATGTATTAAATGACGTAAAACTTTACTTAAATTAATCATCAATAAATGCTGCCAGAACTCCAGATTTAAACATAATCTGTTTTATGAATGACAAGCCATTTTACATGAGCAGGGAAAAGCAACCTTGACACATGAGGATTTTATCTTTTTTTTTTGTTCAAGCTCCAGTCCAGTGATTCTACTCTGGAGAGCTTTTGTCCTGTCCTGCGGGAATGAATGTGTCTCATCTCATTTTAGTCGAATCAACTTGGAAACAATGCAACACAATAAAGTGGCTGTGCTGCAGAGGCGGCGTTGGATGAAATAAGAAACGGAGTGTGACTGAAGAGTGTGTTCGTTTCACAGCGAATACAGAGTTTTTTCGTCTTTCATCTCTACAATCATGATGTGAGAAACTGTGCTGACTTTCATCACTAACTTCAAGGTCTGGTTTAAAAAGGAAGCTACTCTAGTTTTGTTTCCCATGCATGAAAGCTCCTGACCTTTGCTGCTATTTCACATTGAACACTATCCCTGACCACTGGTCCTGACAACACTTTCTTCCCCCACTGGGCCTGATAGACCGGCATTGATTATCGCTTCGCTATAGCAAGAAACAAAGCTCCTGAACTACAATCTTCACCTTTCTCCATCTTCCCTCTCACACCATTCTCCTCGCCACCTGGGTCAAATCATGGTGGAGTTGCTGGCCTTGCGTGAGGAAATTTACAGCCCGATGTAACCATCTGTTATGTAGCAAACGCATTATGTTCGGGCTCCTTCACCTTCTTGAACGCACTGCTTTGTATTGTAAATGTGCCATTAGCATTCATGAAGGTATTTACATGCATTCACAAGCCACGTTGCTGGTATTTATATCCCACAGCGAAAGTTATGGCATTCTCCCAAGTTATGATTGCTCCCTTTAAAGGGTCAATTCACCAAATAACTCACGCACAATGTGACAAAGATTAACTCTTGGTGATGAACTTTCAATTTGTGAATTTCTCTTTTGTGTATAACTAGCTAAATTAAGACATGTCACATCAAGTTCACATACTTAAATAATGTAGCTTTTGAAGTACAGTACGGAAGCTCTAAGGGGCCATCAATTCAAATATTTATTTTACTCTGTTTTCCCATGATGGGAAACGGGATAATTTTCTCGTGATCTCGAGATCAAACTACAGCTGAATACAGGGGACGGCCGGTGTGTTTCTTTGGGATCATTGGAAGCACTTCACAGTGTGATTAGCTTAGTTGGTAGAGCACAGGACTCATAATGGATTCCCTGAGGATTGCTGGTTTGATTCCTGCTCTTCATATATTTTTTTTCTTCTTTTGTGTGTTTTTTATTATGCTCTTCAACAAAGTTATTATGACGAGATTCAGGGAAATCCAATCACACATTTACTGACGGTTATTTTAAAGGTTCCTAAATAGCCGTCAGGAAATGTTTAACGTTAAATGGATTCCCCTGAATGAGAAGCACAGGAATTTCCTCTGCCTGGGAATGATGGGGAAATGAAACGTCCTTAGGTTGATGGATGTGGACTAATCGCCAGTCTCATCATAAGAACTTTGTTGAAGAGGATTATGAAAAAGTTAAAAATTAAAGTAAAGTTGGTTTCAGTGCCCGAGTCTTATAATGTAAGACTTCATAAGAGCACATCAAGTCAACACATTATAATTGGCTACGTCTGTTCATTTAGCCTAAGCATTTACACTGTCGGCGATTTTCTGTCTTCCTGCATGTGTCAGCTGCAGCTGTGTTATGTAACTACTGTATGTCTATTTGTCTAATATTATAGATTCCTCTTTGTTAGTAAAATATACCACTCTGCTGCCAGTAGACTTGTTCATGTTTGCAATTGGTCATCTGCTGCTAACACTGCCTCTTTAGGGTGAACGCGCTCATGTCTGGATAGGGAAACCCTGGGTTGCATACCGAGTTGTTCGTGTGACCACTTATCCTGATCCCGATTGTTAGGGTTACTGAAGCCGGATAATGAAAAAACATCCTGGGTATGTTCAAGGCCCCTGGTCAAATGCCCAAACTGTAAACAAATTCTAAGACGCACATCCTTGACTGTGTGTGTATGGATCTATATAAGGTGGCTAAAAAGGGAAATGATTGATGACTTTCTCTATTGTATTCTATCATAGTTTCTTCTCACTCACCACCTCTCCAGTTCTTTCCTGTCTCCCTCTCTGTCCACTGAGTCCACAAGAGTCAACATGAGATTATTTGTTTGTAACCATTGCATGCTGTTCATATTTGTTCATATTTGAACAGCATGGGGTCTACATGATTACGGATGACGGATAGCTGTAGGTAAATGTAGGCTGTTGCCTTCTGAAGTTAGATCCTTTATTTACCTCCATGCCTCCTCTGCCGCCATCCATCTTCTCCTTTCTCCTTTTCTTGTGCTTGATTAGAACAAAGTAAACATCCATTAGGAGCAGCATTTGTGCAGCATTAATATAAGAAACATTCATAGAAATACAGATACGGAACCAGCTGCTCATTTTCATTTTCAGCTCACCCTCTTTTGTAGAAAGCCCAATGTCACTGCTCATTTTCATTGTTATTGTCATGACGTCAAACACAGGTCTTTGACCAAGGGTGTGTTTTTATTATGCGTAGGATTTTCCCCTTTGTGTTTTCTGCACTGAACAAAATTATAAACGCAACACTTTTGTTTTTGCCCCCATTCATCATGAGCTGAACTCAAAGATCTAACACAAATCTGTCAAAATCTGTGTTAGTGAGCACTTCTCCTTTGCTGAGATAATCCATCCACATCACAGGTGTGGCATTATCAAGATGCTGATCAGACAGCATGGGTATTGCACAGGTGTGCCTTAGGCTGTGGTTATGAGGGAGCAATGCAATTGGCATGCTGACTGCAGGAATGTCCACCAGAGCTGTTGTCCGTGAATTCAATGTTCATTTCTCAACCATAAGCCGTCTCCAAAGGCATTTCTGAGAATATGGCAGTACATCCAACCGGCCTCACAACCACCAACCCAGGACCTCCACATCCAGCATCTTCCAGGATCGTCTGAGACCAGCCACCCAGACAGCTGCTACCACAATCAGTTTGCATAACCAAAGAATTTCTGCACAAACTGTCAGGACCCGTCTCAGGGAAGCTCATCTGCATGCTCGTCATCCTCATCAGGGGTCTCGACCTGACTGCAACTTCGCACAGCCATTGAAGAGGAGTCGGCCAACACTCCACAACCTGATCAACTCTATGCGAAGGAGATGTGTTGCACTGCGTGAGGCAAATGGTGGTCACACCAGATACTGACTGGTTTCTGGACCCCCCCGGACCTCCCAATACAGTGAAACTAAACATTTTCGAGTGGCCTTTTATTGTGGCCAGCCTGAGGCACACCTGTGCAATAGCTAACTTCAGCAACCCATGCGGCTTATAGTGCTTTCAGACCAAAAGCGAAGTAAGCATTGGGGGCGGTGCGTTTACCTACAAAGTCAATGCACAGGGGCACAGAGCCGCAATTTCCTGCCGGCGACATGAAGGTCTTCGTGTGAGTTGAAAACTACGCCGTTTACTCACGCAGGAGCTCAGAGTAAACTGCTTTCATTAAATTTGCTTTTTACTTTAGTACTTTAAACACTTTACTTTTTTTGGGATTACAAAGTTGATTTATCTTCACTGGAACTTCGCAGCAGGTTTCAATGTTGTTGTTAGCGTCTGTTGACAACCAGAGCTTTGTTGGACTACTACTTCACATTTATATAAAAAACGGACAAAACTGGAAGCGAGGAAGTTGAAGTACTAGGTGAGTTCAGAAAATATGTCTCTGTAACTTTACTCCAGCTATCGTTGTACTTTACTGCGAACAAGTTAGCATAGCATAGTCCCGATCGCTCCAAAATCCATTCAGAAAACATTTTAGAAGGTGTTGTCCTGCTGACTTGCTGACAGACCTGACAAAGCATGAATTCATACGTTTAAAAAATTAGCATCATATTGTAGTTATTAGTTAGTTCGGTTTGATCTGTTTATTGCACTTAAATCACAGCAAAATGTTCACTTTGGTTCATACAGCTGTAGTAATTTTGAGTTGTGTTTATCCGCGTTATTGCGTTGTGTGTGTACACTTGGCAGTTGTACAGCGATAAAACCCTTGCGAGGAAAGTGTTAGTTAAGGATTAAATTCGCGTTTGGTCTGAATGCACAGCGGTTAGCCACAGCTTTGTTTGCCAAATAATCTACTGTGCCTTCCCAGCTGTAGCGCTATAATTGCCTTTTTTAATTTATCCCCACTTGCTGATGCCCTTTTGGATTCTCTTTGCCTCC